AAAAAAAAAAAAAAAAAGCAGTTGTGGCCAACACGGACTGAGTCTGTGCAGGTCACACGCAGTGACAGATTCTCATGCAGTTGTTCTGATGACTCCTGAGCTAATATCCTACCTGTGTGGTACAACTGAGGCATGAGAAGCATGGGCACCTGACACAGTGTAGAGATGGCAGGGCTGAGATGCAAAGCAGCCACTCTCTCCTTGCAACCGGAGGTCGCCCCACCGTGTTGAGAAGTGTGGACAAGGAGGCGGGCCCCGTTTTTCTTCTCTATTAACAGGCCTATCTCTGAGCATCCTTCTGAGCCCCTCGGGACCAAGTACGAAGGCACGGGCTCTTCCAGGCTGATGGTGAATAGCACAGTCTCTGCCCTCATATCCGCAGGTCCCACATCTGGGGACTCAACCAACCACAAATGAGAAACACTGCCGGACTGGCCTGTAACTCAGTGGTACAGCACTTGCCTAGCACGTGCAAGGCCCGAGTTACATCCCTGGGACCAAAACACAAAACAAGAGAAAACATTAGCACTTGTGTAGGCTGAGGCAAGAGGGCTGGGAGTTCAAGGCCAGAGTGAACAACAGAGCAAGACTCTGTATCAAAAGCAAAAAAAACAACCAGGGATTTAGCTCTGTGGTGCTGCTGCCTGCCTCCTAAATGCAAGGAACAAGTTCAATGCCCCCGCCCCACAAAACAAACAAACAAAACAAACAGCCAGGCATGGTGGAGCACACTTATAATCCCAGCAATGGAGAGGCTGAGACAGGAGGATGTCAAATTCAGACCCAACCTAGGCAACTCAATAAGACTTTATCTCAAGGGGCCAGGATTTAGCTTAGTCGTTCTACCGCCTGCCTTGAAAGTGCAAGGACCAGAGTTTGATCCCCAGTACACCCCCCCCGAAAATAAATAAATAAGGAATGGCCCTGCATTTAATCCCCGGTATAAAGACAAAACAAAACAAAGTTTAAAGGGCCAAAACTATATATAAGTTCTAGGTCAAAGGTCTCCGCCCCCCAACTGCTGTGCTCAAAGAACAAGGGCCTCAGTGACTGCTCTGCAGATAGGGCCTTTAATAAACAGGTCATTAAGGGCGTAAGGGTGTGGCTTAGTGACTGAGCATGTGATTAGCCCAAGTGAGGCCCTAAATTCAATCCCCAACCCACACAAAATATTTTGTTTGTTTGTTTGTTTTGGAGACAGGGTCTCACTATGTAGTTGAGACTGACCTGGAACTCATTATGTAGTCCAGAATGGTCTCGAACTCACAGCGATTCTCCTGCCTCAGCCTCCCGAGTGCTGGGATTACAGGCATGCGCCACCACACCCGGCTCTAAAATTTTTTTTTAAAAAATGAAGAACCAATTAAAGTTAAATGAAGTCCCAATTCACTACAGCTGGTGCCATTATGAACAATGAGGACACAAATACACCCAGAGAAAAGACCAAGTGATGGTCAGCTACACACCCAGGAGAGTGGCATCAGAAGGACCCAACCTGCCGATACCTCAGTCTGGGACTGCTGGGTCTCCAGAACCAGGAGGACATTAGTTTCTCTATCTCCATTGTTTAAGTCACCCACTAACATAATTTGTTATAGAAACCCTAGCAAGCTAATTCCAATATAATTTAGAACAGTAAAAAGCAAGTAGCTGGGTATGGTGGCACACACCTATAATCCCAGATACTTAAGAGGCTGAGGCAGGAGAATCTCAAATTCTAACCCAGCCTGGGCACCTCAGCATCTCAGCCAGATGCTGTCTCTAAATGAAGAAAAAAATTTGAAAGGCCTGGAGATGCACATCAGTGGTAGAGCGCTTGCCTAGCACATGTCAGGCCCTGGGTTCAATCCCTAATACTGCAAAAAAAAAAAAAAAAAAAAAGAAAGAAAAAGGAAATTCAGTCACACACAAAGAAACCCTGACCAGTACAGCAGCGATCATGGCCCTAGGGTAGTTTTTCGGTTCTTCCCTGCTCTCCTCAAGTGAGTATTATCAGGGAACAAACCCAGGCCCGCCTGCTCACCTGAACAGCACACCTTTGATGACCTGCCAGGCGTTGGGTGCTGGCTGGGGTGGTGGGTTCTGGGGCTGAGTCTCGGCTGGCAGGTCCCTCCCAATACTGCCATTGCTGGTCACCTGTGGGGGACAAGAGGCCAGAGTGAGGCAGTGGAGTGGGCCTGAGACACAGGACCCCCCCCAGGCCCCACTGTGCACCATGGCACAAACAGGCCGAGCACACAGTGGGCCTGCACAGTCGGAGAGGGAACAGACAAAATCACCCAGGAGGAACGCCGGGGACCCCAAGCTGCTCCTCTGTGTGGGGACGCAGTGGTGACCCACCAAGCCCTGTCCTGCCCTGTGCTTTGCAATCTGTGGGAAGTCAGACCCATCTCCAGACAGGCAGAGCCCAGAGCGGACAGGGCTGGGAGGCAGGAGACCAGCCAAGGGGTCGCGGGCCACCAGCTAAGACCCAGCAAGCGGGAGGGTGCAGGATCAGCGAGGGTCTTAGGGGCTGAAGACTGGCATCACTCCCTGGGGCTGGCAGTGAAGAAGCATCCACTGGGGACAGCCAGCCACAGGAGGGGCCTGTGTGGGCCGCTGGTCCAGCAGGCGAGAGAGACCCAGAAAAGCACCACACAGAACACAGCATGCTCTCCTACGCACACACGCGCGCACATTCACACACACTCAGCTCCAAAGCACCACAGAACACAGCATGCTCTCCTACGCACACACGCGCGCACACACACACACACTCAGCTCGGGGAGGTTAAGACCCTTGTCTAGGTCAGCACGGAGCCGGAGTGCTGAACACCTGCAGAGCTGGCAAACACAGCCCCTCGGGGTTCCCAGCACGGCCTGCCTGGGGGGCCAGGCCCTACACCCACCTCCCCACGGTCCATGGCCCGCTCCCCCGCAATGTCTTCTCTGTCCCCTTCGCTCACAGCAAATGCATCGGAGGACAGCAAAGGCAGTGACGGCCCTGTGGCCAGGCAGGGCTGTTGAGGAGCTGAGGGTGGCATTTGTTAAATGCGTCACTTGTCACCTCCTTGTCCCTATCACCAGCAAGAGCTCTTTCCTGTCATTTCCCAAAGCCTAGCACAGCAAAGCGGTCAAGTGGGGGCTCTGGGGTCCTGAAGCCACCGCTGTGGTCTGTGACACCTTGGACACGTCACTTCACCCTCTGACCCAACCCAAGGGCCACGCTGTGAAAATACTGGTGCAGATCAGAAAAGCTTCCCTTCACACGCTGAAAAACAAGTTTCTTACACACTGAATGGTAGGAACAACAGCAGCCACACAGCCAGGGACCCCACCTACCCAGAGCTCGGGGTCTACGGGGAAACCGGCCTGCGAAATGGTAAACAACAATTCAGTAGGTAAGCGGAGCTGAGCACCAGGGCACACACGTGTGATCTCTGCACTCAGGAGGCTGAGGCAGGAGGAGTGAGCCCCAGGCTCAAAAAACAACAGCTGGGGGCCAGGGTGTAGCTCAGCAGCACAGCATCTGACTGGAAAACACAAGGTCCTGAGTTCGAGTCCCAGTACCAAGAAAAAAAAGACGAACAAAAAACAATAGCTGGGCACAGTGCCATACACTTGTAATCCCAGGACTCAGAAGGCTGAGGCAGGAGAATCATGAACCCAGGCAACATGATAAGACCCTGTCTCAGAAAACAACAAAAAGCAAACAGAAAAAGTACTCTGGAAAAACAAGCAGGGAGAAGGACAAAAAGGGACCCACTATGGGTCAGCTGTCAGGGAAGCCCCCTGAGGAGCTGCCTCCTCATCTGGGTGGGACCCTCAGCCCGGCAGCTCAGGGAAGGGGGCCCTTGACAGAGATGACTGGGGAAGGGTGCACAGGCAAGAGAGGGCACAGGAACACGGGCCACCTCCGGCTTGGCCTGGCTCTGGAGCGTGGGTGCCACACGCAGGTCTGAGCCGACTCAGGGACAGGAGAGGAGGCTGAGGCAGGGCCAGGACTTGAACACATGCTGGCTGCCTCCCCGGTCTCGCCTCTTACCCACAGCAATGGACAGCCTGGGGTAGGCAGGCAGACTAAAACCACGAGAGGCCACTTCAGCCCGGTAAGATGACCACAACCAAAGACAGATAATCAAAAGCACTGGCAGTGCTTTGGCGACCCAGGCCTGAAATCCCACACTCTGGGAAGCTGCAGCAGCAGGAGGATCGCAAGTTCAAGCCCGGCCTGAGCAACTTTGTGACTTAGCAAGACTCTGTCTCTAAATTTAAAAATTTAAGGGGGCGGGGTTACTGGGGATAACCCCCCCCATGCAAAGGTTTTGCATTCAAACCTCAGTACTGGGGGACAAAAGAAAACCACTGGTAGGATGTGGAGAAATAGGAATCCAAAATGGTACAGCTGCTTTGGAAACCACAGCAGTTACTTAGCAAGCTAAACCTGGACCTACCAAACAAACCAGCAAACCCAGACCGGGCAGCAACCCAAGAGACAGGAAAACATATGTCTGCACACAGCTCGTACACAAACTTCACGGCAGCATTATATGTAACAGCCCCAAACTACCAACGACCCAAGGTTCTTCAATAATTGAATGAATGAAAAAACTGTGATGTGGCCAAGGAACGCTGCTCAGCAGTAAGAAGTGACAAGTACGCCAAGCATGGTGGTGCACAGTAATCCTAGCATTTGGGAGGCTGAGGCAGGAGGATCACTGCGAGTTCCAGGCCAGCCTGGGCTACGTAGCATGAACCCTGTTTCAAAAGAACAAACAAAGCCATGAGGACCATGGGACGTTTCTGAGGTGACAGAAGCAGCAGCGCTACTCTCTGCAGATACTGTGGATGGAAAAGATCCAGAGAAAGGGGCAACTGCATCTGTACTGCCTACGTGCAGACATTTTCCTCGTTATCCCCTAAACAATACCACACAGCATTGACACTGCACTGCGCCTGCAGCATCCTTAAGGATTCTGTGCACCTCAGATGCAAATCCCATTTGGGACTTTTTTTTTTTTT